CATCAGTTGACATGTGGAGTTTGCTACCCAGCAGCTCAAACCCATGTCGACAAAAACCAGACGTAAAACGCGGATCCCGGTCCGATACTATGGACTCGGGAATTCCGTGTAGTCGACACACATGTGCCAGAAACAGGAGGGCAGCCTCTTTTCCTGAGATCTTGGTGCTACATGGTGCTAAATGCACCATCGTGCTCAGTCTGTCTACAAAGACAACAATTCCCGTCCTGCCTCTATGGTCAGGCGGTAAGCCAAACATAAAGTTCAAACTGACCGACTTCAAACATTCAGTTGGAATCGGCAGTGGCTTCAGTGGAGCACTATTCGAAGGTGCAGGCTTTATGCGCTGACACTCTTCGCAAGAGCGAATATAGTTGGCAACCCACCGGTATAGGTGGGGCCGCCAAAATTCCTCTTACACTCGTAAGAAAGTCTATTCACGGCCCATATGCCCACTAGATGGCGCATCATGGCACTCGTGAAGTATCATCAGCTTGAGATCTGTGTCATGAGGGATATAGATTTTCAAGGGATCACAAGGTGACACTTGATGCCATAATAGGCCATCACTGTAACTATAGCGATTAAGCTTCGCTTTGAGGTGCGACGGAAGGGTAACCTTTCGTCCACCAAAATGATCCAACAGCAGGCGACAATATTCGTCCTGACTGTAGCACTCCTTTACATCGGAGGCCATTGAGCTCGTCACATGGTAGGCCTTCATGGCTGCCAATGTTGACGACTTAACTTGTGCTTTCGCACGAGACACACTATCCTGGTGTCTCGCCTCGAAGTCTGGTCTGCGCGATAATGCGTCAGCCAAGACATTCGACTTACCCGGCTTATATTCAACTTTAAATTAAATTCAGAGAAAAATGTTAGTCATCTCGCCATCCTAGGCGATAGGTACGGTAAATTTATAGCGTTTATAGCGGTCCACAGTGATGCGTGATCCGTATAAACCACAAAAGGTATGCCGTTTTGGCTACATCAGTATCTCTCATGAGAACTTGATAGTAGCCATCCTTCAGATCCAACGCGAAAAAGATAGTTGACTTTACCATGGAATTCAGCAAGCCATCTTTCCGCGGGATCGACGTTTGAGCTGGAATGGTGGCCGTGTTCAGCTTATTATAAGCATGAACCACGCGCCATCCACCCGTGGCTTTACGCACACAGAAGGTCGGGCTGCAGTGAGGCGACTTGATCTCACGTACATGCCCCACCTTGGCTCGCTTGTCGAAGAACTCATCGATGTAATCGACTTGTTCCTTCGGCAACGGCCATTGCCTGGTCACACAATACTTGGTGCCAGGCTCCAGGTCAATTTCGTGCCTGGTGCCCCTATCGGCCGGTAGGCGGTTCGGCACTTCTGCTGGAAACACATTACGGTTTTTCCACAGAAAGTCATAGAGCGGGCTGTCTTTCAAGGCATCCCAGCCTTGAGCAGCGAACCGTTTCTTTTTGTCGGTCTCCAAGACGCTCTCATCCATTGTGGATGAAGAGCAACAGTCCACCACGTTATCTTCTGGAACTGGTGCGACTATCTCGTAGATCTTTCCTTCCTTTAGTTCGGACAGGAACAGATCCCACGTCATCTCCGAGAGATTTACTATCTCCTCGGCAGATGCCAAGAAAAGTTGGAGCACCTCAACTGAGGATGCCTCCGGCATTTTGTCTTCGACGGCCTCGAACAACTCGTCCGTAGGTCCGTCCTCTTGGATCGAGACTGATCCAAGGGTCACTCGTTTCGACGTGCCCTTGATCGTCTTAATACGTCTGGTGCTCGTTGTTCGAGTCTCCACGACCTTTGACCTGGAAGAAGGTGTCGTTGCTATCTCAGCTAACGTACTCCTTCCAGCCGCACCAGGCTCTAGCTCTGTGCCGGTTCTTGTGGCGCTTGACTTCCTGTCAGCCCACCATCAGCTGCCACAGGCTCCAGCTCTGTGCAGGACTATTGGACGCATGACTGCTTGTCATCGCCCCATTCACTACACCAGCCTGGTAGGAATATGTGTCAACTGGCTTTCCGCCAGTGCACTTCCAACTACACCACTCCTTTCGAGCTGGGTAGTTCCTGGTATACCGTCATAGCACCCTCGACTGTGTTGGACACAGCATCAGCCACATAAGCCTCTCGCAAAAGCACATCTTTTCTGTGTCTTGCGTAGAGCTAGCGACTGTGCGTGTACGCCAGCCTATCCATGGTTGGTGTTTAGCCAACCAAGGCATGCCTAGGATGAGGTCATACGGACTCTCCATACCTAGCACTGTGAACTTCGCTTTACAAGAGAAGTCACTGAAACTGAAGGCGAGTTCAACTTGATCTCCCTCCGATTTGACGAGCGCGCCGTTCGCTAAACGAACGATCGCCTCTTCTCGCTTGCCATCCTGGCAAAGCGACTCATAACTTGGCGGACTCGTTTTCAGAGCCGCGAGTTTCACAAAGTTTTGTGATGCACCCGAATCCACAAGAAGGGTCATCACTTGTTCATAGCCTCGTACTCGAGCGCTATAGATCAAAAGGGTTGAGGTCCGACCTTTTCGAACCTCAAGGACTATGCTACCCATTTGTTCGATAACTCTGAACTTAGGGGTAGCTTCAGAGTCCGCGACAGTAGGGCATCCCACCCCTACTGCGCTCCCACATTTCCCGACCCATCTTAGGCAGGTGCTAAACCCGTGCGTCGTGCACGCTGGTTTTTCGCACCTCCCTTCGGGTTGGTAGATCTTTTGCTGGATGCCTTAGCACCAGAAGCTAGTTTAGCATAGCAGCGAGCCATCATATGGCCTCGCTTGCCGCACTTGTAGCAGATGTGATCTGCGCATCAGACTTCTCGGACGACGGCCTGTAATAGGCTGTCGCCGAGGCGCTGTTGTAGGATTGCTCCTCAACTAAGGCAATGTCAATTGCCTCTTCCATCGCCGCTGGCACCTTTCTAAAAAGGGCCTGACGCGAGGGGACGTGCCTAAGTCCATTCATGAACGTGGCCACCTTAATACGTTCTGGTATCGGTTCTTCATTAATGGACGCCGACAGCGAACGTATCTTCTGCACATCCTCTTGCAGAGATCGTTTCGCGTGTCGTGCTCCAAAGAAACGCGCCTGAAGCAACACTTTACTGTAAGGAGGCTGATGCATGGCACGAATCTTTGTCTTAAAGTTCGACCAGAAGAAAACGCATTTGCGTTTGTGTGGTGAAGTGGATTCAAATAAATTTATAATAAGACTCCAAACCACTCACTTTACCGGACTGCCGAATGTCAGATGGGGTACTTCGACGCCGCGTATGGAACTTCTCTCACCTTTTGTACCCGTCGGCTGGCGGATTGCACTCTTCGGAGGACTTGGTGATGATGTAGACGTCTGCCTTGAGGGAGGTAGACCTGGGGGGCCTCGAGTGGATATGCTTCACTCGGTGGGCCGGTAGGTGGCTACTCGATCGACCTTGTCGAGAGTGGGCTTAGAGCCAAATTCTTCAGGGAGCTTATTCCTGGCCTTTTCCTTCGTGTTTCAGGGGTATCAATCACCTGATCTTTCCTTTGCTCCCGGACCGTGAGGTGAAGGAGACCGCTTCCGATAGCGGGTCTTTGGGGGGGGTGGTGTTCGAGACGAAACCACAGGCCAAATAGATCCTGGAGCTCTATTCGCACTTGAACTTCGCTACACGACTGTCTTCAACGGGGGGGGGGGGGGCAAAATATATCCCTTACCCGGAACAGGCGTGTGGTCGACTCGAGTTCCTTAAAGGGCGACGAAGACGTGCCTAGTAGATCGCAAATTGAGTAGTATTTAATTTGGTATCATGCTTTAAAATTCCTTGCCTACAGCCCTGATTACTTGTTTTTACTGATTCTGAGTCCTTGTGTTGACCGGTTAGGAGTGGCAGAACCTCGAGGGACCCAGGTCAACCGGTGCGGGATCGGGTCTACCGATAAGGACCCAGGTCTACCAATGAGGGACCAGGTCTACCGATGAATACCAGGTCTAACGACGAGGAATCCAGGTCTATCAATGAGAGACTTAGTTCTATCAATGAGGGACTCAGGTCGACCGATGAGGGACCGAGTTCTACCAATACTGGACCGGGCCTTCCAAATGGAAACGTGGTTGACTCCTTTAGCTACCGATTAAACGGTACCCTGGCAATGATTTCACTTTTGTCCGTCCTCCCCAAATTGTTCTCCACCAACGGTCGCTTCACCTCGAGATCCCCTGTCTTTCTGGTCTCCTGTCCCTGATACACGGTCTCTCATACCCCGAATTCAACTGTTCTCTGCGGTCTCCATATTTCAACAAGCACTTCACCACATTTTCCATACACGCAGAGTAAGCCCACTCTCGCTTTGCCACGCAAATTTGACATGGCATACGACACCAAGTATCACATACTTCACGGACTCGTGTAACTATCGGCCCGTTACACCTGGATAGTTCTTCTCCGCAGCTTTCAGCTCGTGAGATGTAAAGGCGATCACACGCCTACGTCCTACATTAGCCGTTTGTAACAGAGCACTAAAATCCGACGCTAAAAAGTTGGTTGGGATCAGGCAAAGCTAGATTTGGGGCATGAAGAAGCTTTTCTTTTAGCGCTAAAGAAAGAATTTTTGTGTTCTGCATGCCAACATGGTCCTACTACGGAAGTCTCTGTTGTTTGCATAGATATTCTGAAAAATGAATTACCCCCTTGAAGATTAAACAACCTAGACTATCGATTTGTTCACCAACACAATCTAGCGATCAGCTTGAAGACGCTGGTAACGAATGCATGAGTAGCATTGCGGCTCTGGTATTCTCAAGCTACACGTCGTGCAGCACACATACAGCAAATGAACCATCTCAGACAATCCTTTGCTCATCATAACGGCATAACAAGTAGCCGATTTACTAGCTGTTGCTTTGCCAGAGCTCGTCTCACCATTTTTATACCCTCGTCGTTGTGTTTGTTGTTTCGCCTTCCTTGCAGAGACGACCAGTCGTCATTGGGGCTCACCTCAGCTTAGGGCTCCGGTAGCGCATGCCGACATGTTGGACACTCCATCTTGACCTGCATCCAGCCCTGAAGACACTCGCGGTGAAAAATATGGTCACACGGAGCGATCATGTAGTCTCGCGCTTCAATTTCCAGCTCTACCATACAGATCACGCAATCGATAGAACTGTCGCCGCCCTTGAGCAGCACCAACTGCTGCAGATCAATGCACCGTTCGTAGTTATATTTGACAGGCAGGAAACGCGCAGGTACGAAGAATCTCGGACCATGTCGCTGCTGCAGAGCCAATATACCCACTTGCAGACCCACCCACGCCGCCAGCAGAAAACAAAAATGCGAATCAATTTTGCTCTCGTACTGTGTAGATGCCCATTCAAACACATCCCATAAATACATTAGTGACAAGATTAACTCTACAGCGCATTTGTTTTGCGACATCCTTACCATTGGAAAGGCTGTTAAGAAACTATCCGGGCAGCCATAAAAGTACAGCGGCAAGAATAAGCGCAGTGCACTGATACCGTACAAGTATCCCAGGTCAAACGGGTTTCGTACCTCCCTGTAATATATGTGATATTAAAACTGATCACCACTTGCAGACCTTACATCACGCAAGACATTACAACACATACCTGTGGACATTGTGCACAATTTGGGGGACCCAAAACGAGTAGCAGATAAATACCAGCACGGGCAAGTGATTCTGCAATGACAAACAAGCAAAGGTTAGAAAAGTAACAACACAACCACCAATCTATCCCTGATCGCCAATGGTACCGAGAAATTGTAAAAAATGCAAAGCCCAGCCAGAAGAGACAGGTAGAACCGCGAATAGAGCGTCGTGAGCTCGCGTCGAAGCGTAAGCCAGCCTTCCGAAAACCCCTGTGGTCTTCGTGCCTTCCAAATAATTAGCAGGTACCGCATTTCAAACACCGAGAAAATAATGAGTTTAACAAACGCGACAGAAGCAAATGCGGCAAATACGTTTTGCGCTATAATGCCCACAGTCAAGTGGCCCAAGCACAGGTACGAGTCCACAATAGCCTGCTGTCCAATCGTCAGTAGCGACACCTTCGCCGCTGAAGCCTGAGTGCTAGAAATCTGCAGCTGTCGCAGCAGAAAGTAGATTTCAGCCATAGCGACAAATGTCATGATCACGGCGTAGCGTGATGCCTTGGCGAAAAACAAGTTAAGGTTCTCCTCTTGGAACGTCGTGTCCAGCTTCAAATACAGCCCACAGTTCACACTAGCCAGCGTTCCTTCTAGTTTCATATGACGCATTGATTTCTGCAGTGCTGTCGCCGCGTCGTCGTCCTCTTCTCCATCGCTCGCCGGTTTACTCGAATCATTCACCAATGTCATCTCCACAATACTCACACACTGGTCACTGAACGAGTCACTACTTCTGAATCGCGACACGTACGAGTATCGCGGAGGCGAAATGTCAATGGCCGCATACTCGTCTCTATTTTCCACTAAAGGCACACCATCTAGCCCATCCAAATTTATCAAGTCAGCTAGTGGTTGATGTGGCATGATCTCAAAATCACCCTTCCCGCCTCCTTCCTTCTCTACTTCTTCCTCCACACTATCCGGCGGTATTTCCGTCTCCAATTTCGTCAAATTCTCCTTTTCACTTCTCTTTTTCCGATATAAAATCTGCACACTCGAGTCGGGACTATTGCCAAAAAGTGTCAATTTGCCTAATTTTCTCAAAAAAACTCCTTGTACCGGTAAAATCGTAGCAGCTAGAGATGCCTGTTCCTCGTAAATAACCAATTGTCCCGTCACATATGCCACCTCTTTCATCAACTCTTTCGATGCCGGTGTCTTCATTTTTAGAAATAACCATGTATGTCCTGTCTCCACTGGCTGTGTGTACTGCTGCACTTGAATCTCTCGGTCGACCTTGAGGTATGGAATAATATCACTATCCACAGGTTTTTTCGCGTATTCGTTTGCAGCTAAAGAGTCCCATGTCCCAGAATAAATGCCCGTCACATTTAGTGGGGGTTCTGTATGGCGATAACCTGCTTGAGTCTGTAGTAGCATTTTGAGCTCCTGTACCTTTTGCACACGATCGGTATCATTGAATGCATTGGACGGTAATGCATACCGGTTACGTCCTGAAGTACCGGTATTATCTCCTTGCCTTCTGTGACCGTCCCCCGCACGATTATCAAAAAATAGGACGAGGAAGCAGAGAAAGATGGCCATACTAAGTAACTGCATGCGCTGGCGCTGGAATTGTTGCTGGCGCCAATCTGCCTCCATTGCCGATAAATTCAAACCCACGGGTTCAGTGCCATGTGGAGGACTCCCTCGTGGAGAATTAGCCCGTACAATCATGACGACACGCCCGTTCTCGCTCATAATAATGGAGTGATGACTATTTAAAGAAAAAATGTTGCCGTTACTTCAGTCAGCAACTTTACTTGCAGCAACCGACAGTGGATGCAACTTCAGCAAGTGGTGTGATACACACGTTTATCGGACTTAGTGAGCGGTCGTTTCACTTTATTAGTGGCTTCAAGATCAGCAAGTGTCGCTCTCTTCTTGGCAGCGCCTCTCTACTATGCTTGGGTCCCAGACGTCAACGGATACATCATCTTGCTCGTCTTTATCTCCTCTTTCTTCTGATATGCTAAAATCATTGTCTTTGTCATTGTACAACTCACTAGAAGATGAAGACGCAGTTGATGCAAACCAAGTGGACCTTGTGCTTGAAATGACGGCAACTTTTGATTACGATGGATTTCAATTGCCGTCTAAAGTAACGCGAACTGAAGTGGAACGTGCAATTAAATCATGTGGTGGCGATGTGGCAAGAGCGGTGGACGACGTGCTGAGTCTCGTGGCTATTAAGACGCTCAGTCAAGAGGACCAGCAGACACTGGAGGAACGCCAAGGAAGTGCTAAATTACAGCTTACAGAGCTCTGTAGCGGTCTAGGATTGAGCCAAGAAACGTCATTCGTTGCAGCCCTAAAACAGCTGTCAGAGAGTGAGCAGAATGAGCTCCTTGCTACAAATGGGGCATTCGTGCAGCAGCTTTTGCTGAGTCTGGACCAAGATGACGACAGTGAAGAAGAAGACGTCCATTCGTTGCAGTATTTGCTGCAAATGTACCCGGACTACAAGGCAGATATAGTGGAGGACGTGCTGGACAGTCATAATTATGATGTCGATAAGGCTGCAGACGCGCTGCACAATTTACAGGCGCTGAATCATGTGCAGAGTTATGCTACGGTTGTAAATGCCGATGCACGGACTGCATGGCAACAACGAGAATTGGCTCAGAATGGACCAAAAGTGGAATCGTTGGGACAGTTTCCTGAATTAGGGGCTACCAGCAAGACACTGCGGAAGAAATTGAAGAGGCAGCAGCGCAGAAAAGAAGAATTGCAACTGACGCCACATCAAAGACCGCCGCCAAAACCTTCGCCTTTGTCTGTAGAGTACCCCATGCTGCCGGCACGTACATACATGGCGACGGACAAAAGGATGGCTGTGCACAATGCATGGGATCACCAGAACGCGACTCGTGGCCGTCCGGAGTCGGGCATTACGACTCAACTTAAGCTCGAACGGCTTCAAAAGCTACTGCCAAGCATTGATAGCAGCGTCATTCGGACTGTATGCTCGATCGTGCTTTTCATTCTTCTTATTTTCGTAGGGTATTCGCCGTTTAACCATTTTTTTATCTGTTGTGCATACAGACGTTCATCCTAAACGGGTACAGTTCCGATGCTACAGAGGCAGCCTTACGTGAAGTATACAACATACCGCTGGCTGGAAACCAACTGCCTGCACCCACCGTGGCTGAGGAAGTGGAAATGGCAGCTGATGCGGAGCAGATGATTGCTGCTACCAGAAGCACTCATCAATCGTACTGTGGTAGTCGTACGGAGCACTGGACCATCGTTTCTAGCAAGCACAAGGTCAACGCAGCGAGAGAGACCCTCAGCAACCGCTACTGTGACGTCCTTGCATCGTTCAGGCGTGGTCAACACGTTCTTGCTGTTGACCGTATTCGAGAGTGAGCGGATTACTTTTCCTGTCGAACTTTTGTTTGTGGCAAACTCATCATGTAGTGTCTGATGTGCATAACAGATTGAGCAAAGCGCGTCGTGAACACCGCGATGCCCAACGTCAGTGGGCTCACGACTACTTCCTGGCGCACGAAGAGCATCTAAAGTAAGTCTGTGTAGATATATCTATTGGCGCATGTTTCTCATCTCAATCGAATGTGCATTTTGTTTTTGTTGCAAAACAGACACCAGCGGCCAATTGATCTGCACGGTATGATTGTGATGGAGGCCCTTTGGGTGGCTCGTGAAGCTATCGAGTACTGCCAGACGCATCGAATTCGTCGATGCTTGTTGATCTGCGGTGTAGGTCACCATTCGATCAACGGCAAACCACGCATCCTAACAGCGCTTCAGCTATCCTTAACCCGACGGCAGATCGCATCTCGCGAGCTTAATGGCGTGGTGACGGTGTTTCCACTCCGTTCAACGGATTCGACCTGATCAATATTGCGTTCGACTGACTATGTTTTCTACACTGACCACGATCTATCTCCAAGCATCGACTCGTGTAGATTCAGCTTGTTTTCAAACCGATCACAGCTCTTCTGTTGGATATTTGCTAAGATTTTTGGGAAGCACAGATCAGTTTCTGTCATACGCTTACCCTGAAGTGGCTTGTGCTTGAACCCTCCTGCTTTTCAGAATAGTGGCTCTTTGAATAACTGTTTGCTGTCGCTTTCTCTTCCAATCAAGTAACGCACAGTGAAGCGAGAAAGCGACAGCAAGCATTTGATCGTGTAGATTACTCGTGAATATAATGCTGAGTTTTATTTGACTCTAGGCAGTCTCGATGATGCCGATACGAATCCTCATCACTATAGAAGATGAGGTGACCGATCAAGTACAGTAGCAATGTCTTGATATGACGAAAGAATTCGCAAGTGATTACAGTGAGGCATACCGTAACGGGCAGGCGATACTTTGGTAGCAACTTTGTGAATGTAGCAGATCATCTATTTTGTGCGAGCTTGGGTACAGCATCCCACTCTATGCCTACACAATCCTTCCCTTTCGTTAAATGACATCATGTGGGCAAATCAACCTCCACATGCATCAATCTTCAAAGTCGCAACAGGGCAATGTCGTTTGGAAAATATGGCACCAAGATGATAGTTAGCCATAAAGATGGGAACGCACAGTGCAATGCCTGGCCGAATATGTCTGGATCGAGGTCAAAAATGGGCGACAATCCATACGCGTGCGTACCATAGTACGCGTTTTATATCCGCTACATAGGAGCTGTTAGATCAGGAAGCAAAAGATCTTCCCCATGCATGCAACCATATCATTCCTCAATTTGCTCTTGATCTTCAATCACCGCTTCGTATATTGTCAAGATGACTATTAAGCTCTACGCCAACCTCGTTAGCCAACCCGCTCGTGCAGTCGAGTGGATCTTGCGTCTTAAGAAGCAGGACCACGAGTTGGTGGTCATGGATTTCGGCAGCCCCATTTTCAAATCGGCTGAGTTTCTAGCCTTGAACCCCAACGGACTGATCCCGGTCCTGCAAGATGGAGACTTTTCAGTGTTTGAAGGGAACGCCATCATGCAATACCTGGCTGAGAAATTTGGGTGGACGGATTTGTACCCGACCGATGCGAAGGCCCACGCCAAGGTGAACCAGTATTTGCACTGGCACCACACGAACGTTCGTCTTCTCACGCTCAAGGTGCTCGTGCCGTTGATGCACTCGAAACAAAACATTGCCACCCCCGATGAAGCCGTGCTGATAAAGGACGCTTCGTCCCTCATTACGAAGCAAGCGGAGCTCGTGGAGAAGTTTCTAGTCAAAGACTTTGTGGCCGAGACGGACCAGCCGACGATCGCTGACTTTGCTGCCTATTGCGAGTTCGTGCAGATCGAATTCATGGGTATCAATGACTTTTCCAAGTACCCCAAGCTTTCTGCCTGGCTGAAACGCATGAAGGCTTTGCCGCACCACGACGAGGTCCACGAACCGTTGGACCAGGTCTTTACTACCATGGAACTCAAGACTAAGGCGAAGCAATAAGATACTCGTATTCTCGCATGCACTGGAGCTTTTACAATGCTGCTACAGTTAAAGACAAATGCTATGTGATAATCGTACAACTTGAATAAAGCTTCGTCCCATTTGTCTCTCGTCGCACGTATTGACGCCTAACGGTGTTGTCCTCAAAAGACTCTTTGTTCAGTACCTCCTTTGACATGACGATGCTCAAGCTCTACGCAAATTTAATCAGCCAGCCAAGTCGTGCGGTTGAGTGGATTATGCGTGTGAAGAAACTGGATCATGAGCTTGCTTTGACTACGCATGGTAGTCACACGCTCACATCTGCCGAGTTTGTAGCTTTGAACCCTAACGGCCTTATCCCAGTGCTGCAAGATGGAGACTTTACATTGTTCGAGAGCAATGCTATTATGGTGTACCTGGCTGAGAAGTTTGACTGGCTGGACTTGTATCCGAAGGATATCCAGGCACACGCCAAGGTGAATGAGTATTTGCACTGGCACCACACGAACGCACGTCTGATCACGTTGAAAGTGCTGCTTCCGCTCAAGCGTATAAAGCAACACAAACAGTATGAAGATGACGCTGTGCTGGTAAAAGAAGCTCCGACACTGATTGGAAATCTGGTCAAGTTGATGGAGAAGTTTTTGGTAAAGGACTATATCGCCAATTCCGATGAGATCACGCTCGCGGACTTTGCTGCGTACTGCGAGTTTGTGCAGATTGAACTTATGGGCGTCTTCGATTTCACCGAGTATCCAAAATTCTCAGCGTGGATGCAGCGCATGAAGAAGGTACCGCTGCATGATGAGATGCATGCCACGCTGGACGAGTTCCTATCTGATCTTAAGCTAAAAACCAAGGCCAAGGCCAAAGAAAAGTCTCTGGCGAGCTCATAAGAGTACGCAGCAGGTGTAGCTCACGGAGGGAGGAAGAAGGCTGCAGATTAATGCTTTATTAACGAGCCTAACAGATTCAAAGTTCTCTGTTTGTCAATTTAGCTTATTAACGGTGCCAAGCACGTCACATTTACCTTCTAGCCGCTCCCGACGACGGTAACAACCCATATAGACATAATGACACTTATATTTCCACCTCGGAGTGAAGCTTCTTGTAAAGTGCTTCGAGCTCTCGAGCTACCTCCTTCTTTTCGTCGAGGTCCGTCTCCGGTTGCGCTTCCAATTCGTGGCGTTTATTGGTCAGCTCTAGGATCCGTTGATACAGCTTCACGACGGTTGTCTTGGAAGCATCCGATCGATACTTGGCGGCCGAGGCACCAGCGTTGGCTGGATTCACATCACTATCGCCCATGGCGCTGTAATCCTGGCTACTTGAGTCCACAGACAAACAAATACTTTCCTCCGTAGGACGTAGATCCTCCGGACGCAGCAACGAACCGAAACTGAGAGCCAACTCATACATGGAGTCAAGCCCGTCCTCATCGTCCGCAACGCTCACCGTTCGCTGTCCCAAGTTGGTGGTCTGGGCCTTATTCACAAACGGAGGCAAGGATTCATCAGTCAGAGCGTCGTGGCCTTGCGAGTGTGTGCTGTTGTCCGGGCTACAGAAAAATGATGGCAGCCTTAGACCACGACCATTTGCTGAGTCTTCCAAGCTACTAGTTCGTCGGCGCCGGGGATTTGACGGCAAAGTCTTTGCCTTTTCCAGCTCAAAGTCAAAAATTGGAGCCTCTGTTGTGACTTGTTCACGAAATTTTGCCTCCTGCTCCGCCCATAGCTGCACTTGCAGTTGCTCCAGTTGCGTAAGTGGTCGATCAGTCGAAAGCGATGGAGGCAGCATTCTACGTGAGAATTCAACCTTCGGTTTTCTGCGTCTAGCCTGCTGTTGTTGTTGTACTGGATACGACGCTGGGTCTCTTTCATATTTATGACTGACTCGACCAGGTTTCTCCATCTGCTTCGTGTGTCGTGCTAAGTGGCTCGACGTGAGTAACGAAGGGTACATGCCCGAGGTAGCGCTACCGTAATTTGACTCGCTGTATTCGCCGCTACTAAATGAGTCCTCTCGTTCCGCGCCGTACTTATTCGGTTCCTGTTGAAGCTGGCAGCGATGCATCAGTGCCTCCTGCTGTTGTTGCTGGCGCTTTAAGAGTCGCCGTTTGTTCTGCTGCTGCTGCAAAGCACGCTGTTGACGCTGGAGTGCTCGCTTCTGCTCGTCGTCGCGATACTGCGGAGGCGAAACACCATAGGTCTCGTGGTCGTACATGTCTGGATTCCTCGGGTCGTATCTCCTGTCGTCGCGCCTTCTTTCGCACAACGGAGGTTCGTCATACTCACTAAAGTCGTTCGTGTAGTCTAGGCCCACATCAGCATAGTCAATACTATTTGTACGCTCGAACTCTGCATCTGAGTCTTGGAAGCTGCTATTTTGGCTGTATATCTCTTCGTAGCTATTGCTGTACGGTCCTCGTTCACCAGAATGCTGACGATAGTCACTACGGCTCTCATATTCATCACTGTCAAGACTGTATTTGCTACGATGACGCGGAGACGAACCCTTGTCACTTCTTGTATTGTACTGGTAGCCTGGAGCACGCACGCTCACCACAGGCACGCCGTCATCATTGACACTGATGTCTGAGTACTGCTCGCTGGGCGGCAGGTCCTCAAATACTGATGGGTCCGTGCTTTGAGCACACCTTGTGCAAACGCGAATCTTTCTAGCCCCCTGATTAGGAATCAACACCTCCCACTCCATACTGCACGCAGAAGCACATACTACTTCACCACACTTGCGGCATCGTGCCTTCCGTGTAATCAGTCCAAACTTGGCCGAGCATAAGTTACAGCGCTTACGTTGGCTTTTAAGTACAAGCTCTAGATCTCCAAGGAAACGTTGCGTACCAAGTCGCCTTCGCGTGATTAGATTCTGTAAATCTGCAATGCTTGATAGTCTCTTCTTCTGGATCGTCATGTACAGTGCACTTGGTACCTTTACGCTGCTCTTCATGTTGACCTGTGCACTGAATATAACGTCCACCAAGCCAGGTCTCTCACTCTCTACAAACACGTAGCCCGTGTGGTAATAACTGCCGCGAACAAGGCCGTAGTCGCTTAATTCCGGACAACAAGGTAGCTTAATAGAGTGGTAAGAACGCACCCAGCCTCGACGGCCACTCACGTCCATAAAAGTACTTTGACACTCCACCGTAAGAAAGTCGCGGTTTTTCATTAGTTTCGATGGCACGTCCATGGCAAACCACTTGACGGTGACCTGATTAGCGTTAAGCATCTTGCTCGCACCTCTACGATTCTTTCCAGTGTTATTTGTGGGATCGTTCAGCAGAACTGGGTCCTGCAGCGCGTATAGTAATTGACTGTCCAATATGTCGGCGTCCCAAGTAACACATTCAGCGACCTTCTCGTCCGTCGAGAGATCGAAAAAGTCAGCAACCTCATCAAGTGTAGATTGAATCGTGGTCGCCCCACAGCCGTACGTAATGGATTCCCCCACGACACTTTCGGGATATCGAGCTTCACCCTTGTACATTTGCACTCCTCGATATGTACCTGCTTCCTCCCATCGCACGGGTCCTTTATTGCTACGTGTAGCATCGACCAGAGCTTGAGCTGACTCTTTGGCTTTCCCGACAAGATGTTGCTCCTCACGTTGCGTGAGCTCCGGGCACTTGAAAAAGCGCGGCGGTAGAGGCAACGATTTGGTCATGACTTGACAAGAAGTTGAAAGCAATCACGATTGGAATATGCACAAGTCCGACAGCAAGAGGGGGGGGGAAGTGCGGGAATTGGGGAGTGGGGAGTGGACTGGGAATGGCAGTAACTGACTTTTACACACTAGTGTGTGTCTTGTTGTCATGCACCAGAGAAAAGACTGAACTTGTAGCTGGTCAAGCGCCTGGCCGCAATGAGAATAAGCGACGCTGATTCTACTTGGTTTGAGGGCACGCCTCGTCTAATCAGTTGAGTCGCATGCAGCAGATGAATGCTCATCTGTTTCTTGTATCGAGTGTCGTCTGACAAGGCGATGGACACTAATGCGATGCTAATAGCGTGTCATGTCTGACACGATTCAAGTTGGTCGACTTTTCGAAAACTGCTTCATGCGTGTAGTTAGTAGCTCAAGGCGAGGATCACCTTATGCGATTTTACGAGAAGTCACTGGTGAAATGACACTGTAAGTGCCAGTCTCGAGACGATGTGGTCCGACGTCGGGGGCCGTAACCCAATCATTTACAAAGTCCTTACTGAAGTGCTAGTTGCATAACGTGCGACTTTATCATGGCGTCGTCTCTCATCTTCTTTGTCATCAAAGTGGGAGGATACTGTACAGATTGCAAGTAACGCAAGCACATGTACATCAAAGTTTATCGTCTTGATAAAGTGCGCTGACACGAACGCTACCAGGACTCAGTGTGGGAAAGTGTGTGGCAAACAGCAGCTTTACAGCAGACGTCAACTAATCTCTGGGCTCATAAGGAACGAGTTCACCGCGTATCATGTTTGGGGGTCGTTTATAGAGTGCCAGTGAGGCAACTGACTCTCTTCCATCCAGCAAGATAACAATGGCCGCACGCTCCAATGCTGGCTAAAGCTCATCTGCCACTGGACAAGAGAACGATGACGGCTTGGACGACTCCAAAGCTTCCTTGCAAACAGGGCAAGCAGACGCGTGCCAGGACTATCCAAGGTGTTCCAAGGACAGCTCACCATACACCACCGAGACGATGTTGCCGCATACGTCGCCGTGTGAAAACGCATATGGCACATCTTGTGCAGCGTTTACATCACCAGCTTATGGATACAACGCAACCAAGTAGCTGACGTGCCCATCGCCGGCAGCCTTCATGACTTTTGGGATACCAGCATGAGGCCTCTTCAAGCCGCCGGCGAACAAATACACACCACAAGGGACCCGTCTGATACTTTGTCATGTGCCTATAGCCATACAACTCCGAGATTTGTCACCGCAGGTGACAAGCCCTACCGGACTAGAACGAGAAATCGGCGTTGCTAAGTAGGCTTAGGATTCTTTAGACATCCTGCAACCATAAAGGGTGATATCGGCCTTGTCTGCCCCTCTCTTTCTTATCTTCTTGGTGCTCTGGAAGCTCCTTGATTTTGTGATCATGTCTCTGCATGACGTTGCAAACATTAAGCCGGCATGAACATGGAATATGTATGCAGAGTTCCAAAAAAGCTGGCAAATCTCCTGGCGCCGGAGGATAAAAGGCGCCAGCCTCTTTCGGCACCCATTTGACACTTATCGGGATTTGTACTTAAAAGGTTCACTTGCTGGAACAATGCAGTCAATATGTATGTATCAGAAGTTAAGGAGTCAAAGAATGCTGTCTACAGCTTCATTTAGCCTAAGTAAGCCTTTGCACGACATATCGACATACCCAAGTTACCTAACGTTCATGGCTCACAAAAGTGCACTGTACATGTAGCAGTCACCATGTCTGCTTGCAATACCGTAAGTTGCGCTGTAATGCTGCTTTGGCCTATCGCCATCGAACACAACGCGTCCATGTCAGACGTAGCAGTTCGACATGGTTCCGTGTCGCAAAATAGCCGCTAACGACTGCAAACTACCGCCCTTTGCTATGCAGACTTGCGGACGAAAACTCAGCTTTTGATAGTTGAATACTAGCGACCATATCGAAGAAAGATGAATTTGCTCGGTGATGGTTCATATCTACCCTGTAGTGCTAGAAGGGGGTAAGATGGCCGCTAAGAAATTTAAGATACCTCCAACTTAAACCACTGGCAACGTCTCGAATCGTTCGCTTTTGGCGCCGTGTTTGACGTTCTCTCCGCTCAATATCAGGTATACGACACCTGGCGGTAACGGCGATCGTCAAAGTTGTCATGAAGGCTACAATGGCACTACGGGAACAGGCAAGTCGCACATAACGGAAAACTAAAGAGCCAACCAACTCATAGCGGCAAAGGGTAAAGCTAAATCTGTTCAATCATTTGTAAATGAGGTTCATTGCAGACAGAACATGTGTAGTTAGGGCGTGCGCTGTCTTCAAGATTAATTTTGTGAGCTAGGTAACGTTGTTTCTGAATGTCAAGTTCAGATTCATTGAAGCTCACGAGACTCATTAGGTGACAGTGTAACGGGTTATCTCTCATCTAAAAGACCCGATCCTTCATTGTAGATCTAACAGAGTATCGCAACCTTCTTTTCACGCTGTTGTAGTGCTTCGTGCTTTGTGATTGCCGTAATCTGGTCAATGAAATGGATGCTGCGATTGGTCAACAACAAGCTGTTTATTGAAGAAGATCGCCTCTCGTTCAGTCCTGAGCACTATTGAACTGCTATAGTGATCACCTAGATGTGCTTCATGCTTTTTGCTGTTCCAATACAACATGTGTTGCTATGACAGAGTCAGATGTTTAGCCACAAGAGCTGAATGGGTTCACCTACTGCATATCAGCAAGCACGCCCTTACCAAGCATCTATTGTGCTCCAGGCGAACACATCGGTCTTCAGGGTTTAATACATGCTGGCTCCTTGATGAACAGACAGAAGACGCAAAAGCGTTTTGTCTTCTTTATCGTGTCTAACCAAAATAAACTTTATAAAAGGCAGGCTATTCGTATCGTTGCTTAGGAAACCATAGGAAAAGGGCATGTCTTCGCTTCTGCACCATCGAGGGCACTAAAGTCTGATCACCAGTTTGGTGATGCCAGAATCAGTAGTGCTCGATCGCCGGTCTTTGGTGGTGCGTGGCGAGGAAGCAGGTCACTTTGCCACCCTGTAAAACTTTTTAGAAAAAATCCTCCGAGTTCTCTCTATGCATCGGTGTATGTCTGTCCGTAAAGCTCTTGTCCATCATAAGTGCAACACGAGCGGCCAGCATCTACGACTTTTGCTAAGCTAGACATTAGAAAACTGTAAGGTATAATAGAAAGAGAAAGAGACTAAAGACCTGCTCATTATACGTCACCTTGTTACGTGTTGTTGTTACCTTGTACTGCAATCGGAAAAGCAAGATCAAAGCTCTCACATTATATTCTTTTCACCAGCTTGTATTCCTTCTGACGAGCCTCAGTAAGATTGGTGGTCTTCTCGTGAAGAACAATGTCATGCCGGATCAATCCTGAGCGCTCTCCTTCGTCATCACGAAATATAGGCGTAGCTTCTGGGTCTACCACCAAATTCTCGCTGCTGATAGCATCAATGTCATCATCTCCTTTATGACTAATCCAGCGCGAGGCAAAGCCACCGGTCACCATTACCGAGGTTGTGACCAATAGCAGTGCTTCAAGGTGAGATGGAGGACCCATGAGAAAACCGTTTACGAATTGCGCTGTAATGGCAGCAAGTCGGTTTGAGCAGTTGACCATCGAGATACCTGTCGTTCGTAGCTCCTGTGGGAAGTTTTCCGCCGACAAGACTCCGAACTGAAGGATATACGCAGAAAAAAGTAGCTCAGATTAGAGGTAATTTTCAGTTCACATGTCGCTTATACGGTCGAATACGTACCCCATTCCAGGCTGCCGTAGTGCATGCGTTGAAAAGACACGAGATTACGACAATGATAATCTTAGATCCTTCCACGTTGAAGGCAAACAGCAGCGCACAGAAGCTCGACATGAAGAGCGAGCAGGATAGCAGGCGCTGGTGGCCGATAACATCAATCAGGTACAAGCTACCACAATTAGAAAGTAAGTCATCAGCACCACGATTAGGTAAAAAGGCACCAGCACTCTCTCTTCAATGCAACTCACCTGACAATGTTACCCGGTAGATTAGCACCAGCAAACAGGAATGCGTTTTTAAAAGGATTTGCGAGACCAGCACTTTGAAATAGCTTTGTGATCCACGTCGACAGACCATACGAGCCAAAGCTTAAAGAGAAACCGCACAACATCAATAGCAGGGTAGGCCCTGCGTTTGGTCGCTCAAACAAACGTGCTACGACGCGCAAGCTATCCCAGCTGCAAACGACATTGTGCGAGGATGCCGAGTCTTCCGTATGTGGCTTCTGCTGCAATGCTAACGGAGAGCTTCCCTCTATTTTTTGCACCATCTTTGCACTTATAACGTCTTTGACACTAGAAAAGCTGATTTGAATATGACATTCACTTTGATGCACATCGTGAATATACTGCAACACTGATGTTGCACCCTGTGCATCCCCTTTACTTGCCAAAAAGTGCGGACTCTCGGGAACATACCACCACGCCAGCATAAAACACGTAAGTGACGGTAGTCCAACAATTCCGGCAAACCAGCGCCACGAAAGGTGCAATATTTGTTCACCATTACTGTACTTGCCTAGCATGATCCACGCCGTGCCTGCCGTCAACACAGCACCCACCATCCAAAATGAGCACAAAATTGTAACGTATCGTCCTCTTGACGATACAGGAACATGCTCCAGACACAAAGCAAAGAGTACAGCAACTGCTCCACCCACACCCAAACCGGCCAAAGCCCGAAAGAAGATAAGCCACGTGATATTTGGAGAAAAAGCCGATAGAAAAGCCGCAATGGCATTGATGGCTAATGTTGTCAGCAATACTGGTTTACGACCATAGATATCTCCAGTTATACCCCCTATTAAACCTCCACCTAACATGCCAACAAATACTGCAGCAGTTAATAGACCTACACACAAATATCACAATAACATTATTATGTTTCGTAATAATTTTTGGATCAAATCTAGATTTTTACAACATACTGGATTCCCACGGCGTCATCGCCCCTTCCGATTCTTCATATACTGTCAAAATGTAGCCAATTGCAAGAATTTCTACGGCATCCGCAACATTTCCAAATCCTAAAATTCTACAAAATATCCACAACTAAAATTTAGAATTTTAGAATATTGCACAACAAGCGTATTTTTTGAAATAAAAGATCTTGACTTACGTAACAACACGATATTGATGAAAACCACAGCCAATACATTCCATCTCATCATGCACAGCCTTTTTTAACGCTTTGACATTATCAACAGTTACGATGTGGTTTGTCAAGGAACCTAATGTCGTAGCAGACGTGACCGGCTGAGCCATGCGTCCGTCTCTTTGTCTTTATTTTAGATGAAAAACATCTAGATATTTCTGAGTCTGAGTCTACAATATCTTTAAACTCAATCAAGTATACACGGTCTTTTCAGCCAATCATATGCGGTTTTGCATCCTCTCTCCCTTAAAGAAACAAATACCGTATCAGCAGTACGTGGTCGTAATCTTCTGATCAGATTCCGTGTGTCTGTGCTCTTTTTCATTGCCACTTTACGCGCTTTCATCTATTGCAACACAGTCTCTTGTCTGTCTGTCTGTGCACATATTTGTTTGGTCTCGTATTTTCGCTTTGTCGTACAAGAAACAGCTAAAAACAATGCACGCATGGCGTTCGCTATCTCGTAGCATTTTAGTGTTTACAAATGTGCTTTTCCTGCTACTTGGATCAGTGCTTGTATCTATTGGAGGTAGGGCTGTCATTTTCTTTATTATTTTCTGCAACAATTAGCTGAATAGCTTTAAAATTGAGCTCAATACGATCATTTGTCACTAATTGGACCTCTATGCTATCTTCTTACACTATCATAGGTTACATGGCGTCATTACCGGCACTTACAGAGTTTTCAGACGGTGGCGTCGCCTCTTCTGTCATCACGTGTGGCTCACTGATCATTGTGATGGCGTTGCTGGGCTGCTGTGGGGCCCAATGGGAGAGCAAAGTTTTTTTGTTCCCTTATGCCATCTTAGTACTAGTCTCGGTCGTCGCACAACTGTCACTGGCTGGTTTCCTGACCCATGTGCACAGTTCATTGGTGGAAGTGGCCAAACATAACTTTGACCTGTCGGTGCTAGCACCAGCGGATCAGGAAACGCTGCACTGGATCAACCGAAGATTCAAGTACGTTTACTACGGCTGTGGCGTTGACGTGGACATCGACCTGACGGGGACACACAGTCGACCGCTCATTGCTTCATGCTCCAATCCGGAATTTACCTGGTTTGCGGCATTTGTCGAGGAAAATTGTCCCATTGGACACAAGCAGCTACAGACTGGTAGCAACTTCCTTAAGTGTGCTGGACCGAGTTTTTCGCTAAGCAATGCCATGACAGAACACACATTGCTGTGTGCGTGCGAAACACGTATGATCTCGTGGGTGAACGACCAGTCTCTGCTTGTGGCTGTTTTCGTCTTTGTCATTGTGACGCTGGAGATCATGCTCGTGGCTTTGTCGTGCTACATTATGCACTCGCGCCGCTACCGTCGCTATGGGTACCAGGAGATCACGATGCCCGTGCGGCAGCAGCCGTATAACCCACACCCGCGGAACTATTTTGGCCAGCAGGCAGGGCAAAGTCAACCGCTCAACTTTCACCCAACATACTCCTCGTACGGGCCGACAGGGGGAGAAAATCCTTATGCTGCCGCCGCCACGGGTGGCAAGGCCAAAAAATCTACCCAATACGTGTAGTGTAGACTAGTTGGACTATGTTTGAAATAGGATAAGTGCGCAATTAGCTGCGAGATAGCTATGAGACTCCGTTGGAAAAGGGTCTAAAGTTTACAAGAATTGAACGCTCTGCACATTGAGTAGATCTTGAGTCGGTGTACTTGAAGTAAAGCGTGTGCAACTTGCAACCAGCTTGCTAGCAAAGGATTCCTCTTCGTGTTGACTAACTGGCTTGCACAATTGCAGAGGTCCATGTTTGTCTCCATCCACTCCGTTCATATTGTTATGAGACACATGAGTCAACATCTTCTACGTAACTTTGAAACGCTACATGATAGAGAGTGCTCGATATTTGCTTGATTGATAGCACAACAATAACAACAATTCATTTCATCTTGTCCACTTTAACTTCCAAGTCTTTCTTTTTACTATCCTGACACAAGGATTTGACTGTCCTGCAACAAATGCTTGTCTTCAATTTATCTTCCTGGATTTCTTAGATGGTCTTGCCGTATGTTCATTGGGACGATCTGGAAGAAAACGAGTAATCGTGGTACATAAACGGCACGGAGGTGTAGTTTTTCAAAGCCGTAGCATGGTACAAATACACCAGTCCAACTGTCAGACTGCATAGCCAGCTACATCCCACACAATTGGAGCACCCACAACTCGTGTACGTCATCCGGAAAGATATCAGCCATAACTCCCCATGCCAACGGTCCGAGACTTGAACTAAACGTTGTAACGTAGAGTGCATGTAAAGACGATAGCAAGCGCAGGCACATGGCCAGATAGTGCAGCCGTCATGCCGACTGCACTTCAAAACATTACCGCCAATCCGCACAAGATGAGCATGCGATTACCCACACGCGCAGCTAGCAACCCGCAAAACAAGGACGGTAGGACATTCACAAAATTGACTAGCAAGACATCGATGCGGCCGTCTGCGAGTCCCGCCTGCTTGAAGATTCCAGACGAGTAAAAGAAGACAGCATTAACACCCGTGAGCTGCTGGGTTCCAGCCACGCCAATTGCTACCAGTAGCTGCCGAATGAGTGCAGGTGATAACAGTCGGGTGACGTTGCGCTGCTTGGGTGTTTCTGGAGACATCGACATCGCCAAGTCTTGCATCGGCATGACATACTCACTACCAATGCCCACTCTAGGAGCCGCTTCGTCCTGGTCCATCCAGGTCTTTATCAAATGCACGTTCTCCGAACCATAGAGATGAGCCAGCGCTAGCTCGGCAAGCACCGGCTGACCTGCCATCAACAACCACGCGGGGCTTTCCACGAGAACAAAAGGTGCCAGTCCCAAGAAAAGCAATGCCAGTACAATAGGGAATCCTGCGATATACCTCCAACCAGTACTAGTGCTGGCGAAGAAGAAGGTGATCGCAACAAGTAGATGACCCAATGTGATGGAAATCTGGAAACACACACCCAACTTGTTCCGGAGGTGCGGCGGACAGATTTCGCCGATAAATCCAGGGATAACATCGGTCGAACCACCAGCTGCAATGCCTGCAAAGACACGCCCAACGGTGAATATAGTAATGGTGCTGGAAGATGCCTGCACGACTCCACCTGCAAGCATGAAAAGGCAGTTTGCCATCATGGTAGGCTTTCGTCCAAACTTGTTGGAGGCACGTCCGGTCAAAAGACTGCCGATCATACCACCTACGATCCAGGAGCTGACGGCACTAGTCCACTCCATCCAGTTTTCTATATGAAGAGGTCGACGTTGCTGCTGCTATTGGTATTTCTATTGCTAAGACAATATGTCGATTTTTAATGATCTATAACATACATTTGCAACGCGTGGTGACATTGTTACAGTATCTAGGGATACAGCACTATTGTGGTCCCGTGCTGACGAATAAATAAGACTCATTTAGAAAAATTAAAACCGACGAATCGTCCCAGTAGCTCATATGACTACTGGGACATCACGTCGGCTTTTTCCCGGCATTTTACCGGTAAAAAAATAAAGTTATCCATTTCAATAATTGCTCCCTCGTCCGAGTGCTGCAACCACCTCATTGAAGTGACTCTATAAATCTGAATAATGCCTCGATACCACCAGCTATTGGACGCACAGAAGGGTCGCTGCGCCGTGGCTTCCGTTGCAATCCAGGCCGGATCCTGTATTCTCCGAACATCTGCCATATGTGCTGTGCCTTTCTCTTCCTGTGGATGGTGTTTTACTACCCAAGTCCCTCTTTCTCGCTGTACAGGCTGCCGTAAGGTTTGCTATTGCTCTCGAACGTGTCAACAATACGACTGGTCTCAACATCGTCGCGAATGCTCGGCTTGGCGCTCTATTCCATATACTTCCACTTTACCTACTGTTTTAATAGTGAGTCGACTTGCCGCCAAGCTTTTTCTGGGCTCTGAAGCGAACGAGGAAGAGAAGAATCAGGTGTTGAAGCTACGTCATCATTTAGACGATCACTCGAAGGCTAAACTTCAACAATTCAAAGAAATGACGCAGTTAGTACTGCTGCTCTTAGCACAATATAAAGTCGATGGTAAACAGCCAATTACGAGCTTTAACAAGCTTCAGAACGATCTAGAGACGGAGATATTGAAGTTATTTGGTCTTGTGAATTGCAACGCATTCTCGCTAGCAAACGACGTAACAAACGAGGCACTGGGCATCGGGATATACCCAGACGGTGCGCTGTTTAATCATGACTGTGACCCAAACTGTATTGTGAGTTTTAAAGGACGAGAAATGCTGGTGCATGTGGTAAAAGATGTTGGAGTGGGGCAAGAGCTCACGGTCTCATATATTGAGTTGCTGCAGTCGACGAAGGCAAGACGCAGCGAGTTGAGGGAGTCGTATTTTTTCGACTGTGAATGTCTACGATGTCAAGCTGGTAGGAAGGAGGAGGTGGAGGATGACTGGTATCTGAATGGACTGGTATGTAGTAGCAAGAAGGGCAATACTTGCGGAGGTGTTGTCGTGGTAGAAAAAGCCAAAGACGGTAGCGTTAGTAGTGCGACGTGCAAGATGTGTCGTACTGAGCGAGATCGAAAAGAGATTGAAAGGTTGGAAAGGCAGCTAAAGGAGCTTGAAACGCATAAAAACTTTGCATCTGAACAGGATAAATGGCAGTTGTATCAACAAAAATGGGAAATTGTAACGCTGCAACTACGGCTTCATCCGCAAAATTCACGTGTAGCTGTGATGGCCCGTACGATTGGTAACTTTCTCTTTGGAGCGAAGTCGCCGGGTTTGCAACGCCTGGCACTACCTTTCTTCTTGGCAGAGCTACGTGCAGTGGAGTGGCTGCTTCCAAACACAAAACTTCCGTCACGGGGTTTACTGCATTTTCAAATCGGCAAACTTTTGATTGAGGAAACAAAGACACCGCTCCGTTTTCTTTCACCTGCGAATCGAGCCAAACAGATTGAAAGCGCTGTAAATCATCTTCAGCAGTCCCTCTCAGTGTAAGTTTTAAGTCGAACTGTGCCAACAAAATTGTAGTTTTTTGACGAGGGCTGCGATATGTCTTTATCTCTTGTAGGTTGACGAGCGCGTACGGAAGTGATAGCGTTGCTGTACAATCTGCGCAATTGGTGCTAGATGAGGTTCAACGCACAGCTGACCAGCTTCTTTAGCTTCGTATTTGCTACCCATTGTAGTACGGGTCGATCTCTTTTGCTTTGCATCGATAGCAGCCACGTAGAATTCTTCAGCCATGAACTCAGTCAGTGTAACGGGGTGAGTCCGTTACATAATATTGACATTTCTATGAAGTGTGAATAAAAATAGGGAGTTAGCTATATTCTCACCCTTTTTCCTTAAATTCACACCCATTTCATTTTAAAAATATATATATGAATAATCTAGGGGAGATGCTATTATATTCACACCCTTCACATTTTGGGAATATCTATATAAATAGCACCCTCTAAAAGTATGGATCTAATAAACAATTGAAGAGTAATTTCCTTACCATTGCGTTGTGTGGCTAATCCAAATGTCATTGCTCATGAAAGTCAATTTTTGTTAGAGCCCCTTCCTGTTAGTTTCCGTTAGCTTGTGAGCGCAAGGGAGACCCATGGTAGAGGTAATCACCATGGTGCAACAAGCTCTCTGCTCTGCTTTTCCCTCAGATTTTTCGAGACAATTTTTGAGCGCACAGGCTAAAATCTTTTCAGATACTGAAGCAAAAATTGATGGCAACTTGTTTGAATGACGCACCTTCTCTCTGCTGCGCTGCGTTTCTTCACATTTACGCTGCAAAAGTATATTTGCTGAACACTGACAGCAAGTCCCCTGTTGACACTTACCAAAAAGTTTAATGTAAGCATAAGCGCCTTCAACCCGAGATGTAGCTTTGTTGCCGAAATAGAGATACTTTAACGTCCAAGCTTGTACAAAGCGCTCCTTTTATAAACGCCACGTATTTGAGAGGAATTTGAAAAATGTCGGTTTACTTTTTAAACCGTGTGACAGCTCTTCCCGCTTTTTTCATTTTCCACTTCTGTGTTAACCACAAGGAGCAAACACCCCAGTGTTGGGGGAATTAGTCCCCCACCTGGTGCAGCGGTAACGCACCCACCTGATGACCCAGCGGTCACGGGTTCGATTCTCACTCGCGCAAGACTTCAGATTCATGGATCCATTCCTCGTTCATCTCAAATTGATTTTTGCATTTGGCCAGGATGTTCTTTTTAATGTGCCATATGCACAGCACGATCTTTCACAATAACAACTGGCATGTCTCAGGTGTCCAAATAGTAGCAAGTTTAGATAATGCCCACACGCATTCATTATGCTTCTCTACCTTCAAAAAGCAGAAGCCGAGCGAGAAATAAGTATTGAAGTTTGTCATACCTACGATGTAAAGTAAGGGGAGCTGGTACTGGTTTGCTTCGTATGTACAGTCCATAAGCGCATCAGGATAATATTGGCGACTAGCTTTAATACTTTCATGGTAAGCAAAGAAAAGAGAGGTAATTGTTCTATGTTAATCACATCGGTGAATGTGAATACATTTGGACGATTGTAAGTATAGCGGAGCGACACAGCTCTTTAGCCAGAGGAAGACTTTAGGCTGGGCCTCTTAGTTCTAGAGAACTAAATAGAGTTGAGGCTAAAAGCCACTTAGTTCTAAAGAACTAATTAAACGACTTAAAGTCACCCTGTTCTAAGGAACGAGGAGGGACTTTTAGTCTGCAAGCAATAAGCTTAAGGTTCAGAGAACCAACGCACAGAGTGCAAGAGCAAGCTAGAAGCTTAAGGTTCAGAGAACCAACGCACGAAGTGCACAAAAAACAAGTCAGAACGACTTGCGATCTTAAACTCAAAAGGAGAACTGATTATATTTATGCATTAAGATTTTATGAAAAGTCCTACTCTAAGTGCCCTACACTAGATTACTCACTATATAGTAATTATAATATGAAGACTTTTGCTATTGGACGATGTATCGTCTAAATATCTGTGTATGATGTACTTAGTATAGCGTTATCGATCATCGAATTCTAATCGATAGGATACGGTATTACCGAATATCGTATCTTAACGCTCAAACTCAAAACCTCTCTAAAGAGAAGTATAATAATGCATTATATGCAATAAAAGGAAAATTCAACCGTAAACTTTCGGAAAGACGCTACAACCGTCGTGTAACCCCGTTACACTCTCCCCCACCAGACTGACGTTCCCATAGAATGTCATCCGACATCTTTCCTCTCTGAGGTAGTGCTTTAGCGAACGTTTAAACCTCACGGTTTGTTCACGGCACATAACATGACGCCTCTTGGCAATGATTCACAGATTCTACGGGACCTCATCGAAGGCGACCTTGACGAAGCGGTTGATTACGAATGTGACACCGTCTTTGTGGAACCCGATGGGTCCCCTTTAACCACCCTTACGGGTGAACATGACAGTAATAATGCACCAAATTTGTTTCCAGGACGTGGTGCTGCAGATGCGCTAACAGCGTTACGGTACCCGCCTGAACTATCGTCAGCAGCGACGGTTACTAACCCACTCGACGAGCAGCAACAGCAGACCATCGACCAAGAGGAAGGTGCCAAGCGCCGGACGAAGAACATGGCGAGACTTCAGGACCACCGACAGTATAGGTTCAAACCACCTACAGTGGAATAACGCCTTAAGAAGGCATCTGGTCATTCCCTCTCTGGCTGGGCCATTGGGCCTGAGGCCATTTCACCCGAGGATGCTGCTACGCGAACGTCCCTTCGTCAACGCTATCTGGAACCTCATATCACTACGCAAATCCAATACCTGGAACGCCTCAACAGGCAAGTGCGCGGTGCGCCAGTTCCTCCCATAAAGGGCGTTCCCATCCTTCTGTTCGCGGGGGAAACCGAGGAAGAACAAGACACGGCTTTTAACCGCTGGGCGCATATGCGCGACGTTTAAGCAGCATGTGGGCTCTACGGGAAAGTGCCGACGTGGCAGATGTTCGTCTCGAACGAAAAATGCGTTACGATTACGCTAAACAGAAGGCCCGAAATTGTTGAAGTCTCAACGAACGCAATATGCGTCTGCTATCCAGCACTCCAGCGTTTCGGCTACACCTGTAGCCGCGAGTCCACGACAGGCCGAGGCCGATAACTTGCCTACCACCACCACTACTGGTGAGAAGCGTCACCGCCAACAGGCTGACCCTGCGCACGAAGCTTAATAACGTCCACGGCGTATGGACAATCCTGCCGAAGGGGAACCTCAAACTCCCATGAGTTCCACGACTCAGGATATCCCCGCCACTTCACCAGATGCTGGTTTTGACCATGCGGCGACGTTTCTGCAGAAGACTTTTTACATGGAACTGAAGGTTTCCCTGTCCATCAAGCAAAGCCGGAGGAGGCCGGTGTACCGACTCAAGCTTATGCCGAGCTACTTGAAGAGGTGCGGTCTCTCCGTGAGACTGTGCAGTCGATGCATACTCGCCTCAAATCGGTAGAGCAGAGTTGGAACCGAGTAGAGAGACAGCTTGACCTCTTGGTTTAAATTATCCGTCCTGCGGCAGTGCCGATGAGCTCGGCGCGAGCGCCTTAGCGTTCACTTGGGACGGATACCGATATGGCTTGAGCATGCCGACGTATAACACGGGGTGCGTACGCAATTTGCGCGGCAGATTAAGCGTATACGCTAAGCCTTTCTTGGACACGACCGTAAAGTGTCCGATAAAGCGCGGACGCAACTTCGTCTTAAAGACAGCAGATACTACATTGGTAGGTAGGTTTTTTGCATTAAGTAATACTTGGTCTTCAGCCTCATAATCATCAATACAACTTCTTCCTTTAGCATTATATATGTTTGGCTTGGCTTTCAGCCATTGCGTCTTGCACATGTCTTAAGACATTTAGTCGCGTTGCGAGAAACGTATTCACCTGTTTCGTAACAGTATTAGGGTTGACATCAGCAAGCCGATCGGCAACCTCTCCACCACCAAGCCTTGAACCGCTCGGTGGTAGTGCTAACGGAATGCATGGGTGTGTGAGGCCATTCACATAGAACGGAGTGTAGCCGGTAGAGGCGTGCAAGGAGTTATTTAGTGCAAACTAAACTACAGGGAGCATACAGATCCAACGCTTAGGCGTTTCAGCACAAACGCTGCGGAGGATATCTTCAACAACGCGATTTACGCGTTCGGTTTGACCATCGGTCTGCGGATGATCCGCTGTGAATATGTCCAAACGGGTACATAGCACCTGAAAAACGGTCTTCCAAAATTTACTCGTAAAACGCGGATCACGATCAGAAACAATTGCCACTGGCAAGCCATGTTGGCGAAACACCCGATCGATAAACAGCTCCGCTGTACCCATACCATCGATCGAATCTGGCACAGCCGCTAAGTGAGCCATCTTGCTCAAACGGTCAACAAAGACCACAATACCTGTGTTGCCATGCGAATCTTTCGGTAGGCCAAATACAAAGTCCATACTAATGGATTCCCAGCACCCAGTGGGAATAGGCAAATTATCCAGCGGCGCTGACGAATGGGGCGAACGATTCACCCGTTTACACATTTCACACGTACGCACATATGTGCTCATCCATTTATATAATTTGGGCCACCAGTAACTTTGGCATACTGCCCCATAGGTCTTTTCACGACCCAAATGACCACCGACGGCGGTGTCATGTACCTCATAGAGGATACGATACTACAGGTCCTCTTCGTGAGGAATTACAGTACGCGGAGGATCCGCCACATCTGTACAATAGTACAACAGCCCCTGGTCAATAGAATATTGATGAAGGCTCGCACATAATCGTGCCGACAATTTAATGTCCGTGTCTTTAAACTCATCACTGCCAAGAGCATGTAGCAACTCTATACAATGATCATCTTTAGCATACACCGATCGAACGAGATCAATAATAGAAGACGAAAACGTCGTAACATGAGCAAGCTCATAGTCAGGTCTGCGTGACAACGCATCAGCCAAAGCATTTTGCTTGCTCGGCTTATATTTTACCTCAAAATTATATTCGGCAAAGAATGACAACCAACCGGCCATTCTCTGCGAGAGATGCGGCGACTGGGTTGCAGTTCGTAAAGATGCATGATCGGTATAGATCACAAAAGGCTTTGAGCCAGCAGATGAACTCTGAATTTGACTAGATAATACTTCATCGCAAGTAGCTCTTTTTCATGAGCGGGATAGTTCTTTTCTGCAGCTTTCAGCTGGCGAGATTTAAAAGCGATCACACGCTCACGGACTTCATCATATGTTTGTAACAGAGCACTGCCAATGGCAAAGTCCGATGCGTCACAGACGACGCTAAACGGTCGGTCAGGGTCTGGCAAAGCCAAAATAGGAGCATGAAGAAGGTTAGCCTTCACCGCTTTAAAAACGTCTTCGTGTTCGGCACGCCAACACCATTCCACATCCTTTTCAAGGAGATTGGATAATGGCCGAGCCATATCAGCGTAATTTTCGCTATACTTGTGTAAGTAATTGGCAAGGCCAAGCCATTTACGCAAGTCCTTCTGAGATTGTGGAACAGGCCAATGACTATGGCTTTGACTTTGGCGGGATCCGCTCGTAGTCCTCGCTTCTCAATGAAGCACCCTAGAAAGGGAACTTCTTCGGCCCCGAAGATGCACTTAGATAAATTAGCAAATAGCTTATTAGTGCGCATGCACTCGAACACAGCTCGTAAATGAACAATATGGTTCTCAATATCTGACCGTCCATGTTCAGCACGGCTATGGACAAAAATGTCATCAAAGTACGTATGTGCATAACTTCGATGGTGTCGAAACAATTGCGTCACCAAACGGTTAAACGTAGACGGAGAATTCGATAGCCCCTACGCATCACCAACCACTCCCATAGAATACCGCTCGGAGTACTAACAGCAATAAGCGGAATATCGCTAGCTCGCATGAGCAATTGGTAATAACCATCGACTAAGTCGAGCGCACTGTACATGGTACAACCAACCATATTGTTCTGAAGAACATCCTTCCTGGGTATTGGCGTCTGTGCAGGTATAGTGGCTGCATTGAGCTTATTATAAGCATGAACAATACGCCACTTACCCTTCGGCTTCTTGACACAGAAAGTAGGTGTCGAGTGCATAGATCTACTTCTCGCGCACCATACCTGCCGCATGATTTGCACGAAAGAACTCGTCAATGACGTCACACTGTTCTTTGGGTAAAGTCCACTGCCGTGTTACGCAGCATTTGGTTCCAGGAACCAAATCAATCTCATGACGTACATCCCTATCAGGCGGTAGAACCGACGGTGGATCGTGACACACCACGTCCTGAAATCCCTCAACTAAAGGATAGTAGGGATCTGAAGGGTTCTTCAGAATAGATGCTCCACTACGTGCACTAAGTGCTGCCTTTGTATCTTCAAGGACTGCCTCATCGACAAGCGAGGATGAGTTCAGCTCGAGATTAGGTCGAATTACCACCATATCGGGTAGAACACCAGCCTTCAAGGCTTGATAAAACTCATCCACATACATTTCTTTTAGCTCTAAGAGAGCATTTAATGATGGGAAGGCCTCAAGGTCAACCTCACCATCTACATCACCTGTCACTCCGTTTAACAGGGTGTACAACTGGTCACTGACATTACTATGTGATAAAGCAGACGCTTTACGTCTCGCAGCCGCCATCTGGCGACGCTGCCGTCTCATTGACGAGACCGTACTTTGTAAAGTACTTGGGTACCATCATTCCTAAGGTCGTTGGTTTCCTTGACCTTAACCTGCCCTATGCGAGAGCCGATGTCATCACTAACATTCAGTGAGTCATCGTCACATGTTACATCACTAACAGGATCTTCGACCTTAGCTTGCTCTATACGAGAGCTGATGTCATTACCGACATCCAGCGAGTCAATATCACAGGTGGCATCACTAACAAGGTCATCGACCTTCACTTGCTCTATAAGAGAGCCAATGTCTTTACCGACATCCAGTGTCTCAATATTACTATGAGTATCACTCAACGGAGTACGTGCCGTTCCACTAGGTGTCATTAAGCTTTGCTCGACACTATTATTGTTGACATTTGAGTTTATCAACTCAGACACTCCAATGTCCCGCACACTAACTGAATTAGTTAATAGCTCGCGCCAATAGCACTTTTGTTTCTTAGCGAAGGTGGGTTCATAACTCTCCAAAGCTTGCTAGGAACATTGCGCGTTGCACCTAAGGTTTTGGATCTCCAATCGATCCACGGTTCATGGCGTTCCAGCCAGGCCATACCGAGAATGAGATCATATCTCGAGTCCAAATCTAGGACAAGATAGCGTTCAACGCTATTGAAGTCTAAGAGCTTTACACCTAAGTTCAACGGAACTTTAGGAACGGTGACACGTACACCTGTCGCGAGACGAACGGTTATACTGTCACCCTCTTGCGCTTCCAGTGCCTCAGCATACAGCTGACTCCCTTCAAGGGAACGACGTCGGACATAATTACCTGACGCCCCTGAGTCAATTAGAATTGACCATGGCTTCTCAAAACCCTTAACGGTTGCCGACACAACCAACAAGCCTGGCTTGTAATCTTGTTCCATGGAAGCATTCACAGAACCACCTGGAGCTAAGCCCTGTTTATCTTTACCTCCTTAAGGTTCAACAGAACTTAGTTCTTTCCCAGTAGGGCGCCCCGCGCCTACTGGGAGTTGACGTTTTTCCCTGGCCTGCTCGCCTTTTGGCTAGGAGCAGGGTTTCGGCTCTGCCGATTTGAACGTTGCTTTCGCAACGGATAGCTAGGGCGAAGATGCCTAGTGCTTCCGCACATGTAACACCTACGGATGTTACCTTGCTGCTCAGCAGCTTGAAGCTCAGCTTCTTCAGCCTGGCTGAGGTCCATGGGTTCCGCCCTGCTAGAGGCATTTAATCTGTACCATGGCAGACCATAGCGAGAAGATTTGAAATTAAATTCAGCGTTAAACGCTATGCTCACTTCCTCTTTGAAAGTCGAAGGCTGGACACGAAAAACTTCTGTCCTGGCGACCCCAGTGCGAAGTCCTTCCATAAAAACGGTTACTCGGACTTCTTCTGCCAGAGGGTCCTGCTGCATAGCAGCAATGAGAGTTCTCAACTCTTGGACATAGTCCGACAATTATTTCTTACCCTGTCGGGTAGCTAAGAAACGTGAGCGCAAACGATAAGCCTAATTAGGTGGTGCAAACACGCAAGTTAATTGCTTTTTGAGCATTTCCCATGTGTAAAACGCGGCATTTACAGAGACATCGCCCGTTAGAGCCCACTCTCTAGCTCTTCCACCGAGCTTCGAAATGGACAAGCCAGCTCGTTGCTTATCTGATACAAGCATGGCGGCATCCATTGCCATTTCAACTTCTCGGATCCAGAGGAGAAGAATTTCTCCCTCCTTTCCCTCAAAGGTCTTTACGTTTAAAACGAGTGGGCAAGCCTTTGGCTCTGCATCGGGCACAGGTACCTGAATTTACTGCGTAGGCGCAGCTCACGCTGTGTAACGGGGCTAGAACGTACCGTCACTAGCTTACACGCGCGCTCGAGGAAGACTCAAGCCCGAGTATTAGGTATAAGTAAATGTAACTCTGATTTTCATTTTGGTTTTAATTCGTACTAATTACGAAGATTTTAGTCGCAATAAATACGACAGTGTTCCCGCCTTTCGGGAACCACACAATTTCAGGTTGATTTATCATTGGTCGATATTGGGGACTTTAGGCCCAATAATAAACCAATAATAAATTACCACGCTGTGCCCGCTATTCGGGCCCAGCACTTGCCTACATATGTAATTGTTTATTTGTGTTAATGCTATATGTGTAATGTAGCCCATTACATCACCCCCTTCTCATGACAGCACTCACCAACCGTGAGTGCTCAACTGTCGAAAACCCTTCGCCCACAAACGAACAAGCAATGTCCGGAGACCCAGAACCCAATCCAGCAGGACGCCCAAGATACATCAGCGGGAATGCATCAACCAGCATCATGGCGCGGCAGCTCATACCTTGGTCGCTGTACGACTTGTCCGGAGCTCACGCTCCGGACTCACTGGACATGATGCGGGACTACTTCCGCCGATTTCGAAATTGCGCGGGAAAGGTCTTGATGGAATCGAGCATGAAGCTCTACAACGTTCTTGGTGCGTCTTCATCCAACGTTGGATTCGGATGCTTGAGGATGGTAGCAGCTTTCAGTTATGGCTCGCCAATCGAGAGGAGCTTCGCACCGATCACTCCATCGGCGCGCTACGCGAAAGGGTGTGTGAGGAAGCTTGGAATGAGGACCGTCTCTGCTTCATCCATGTCAATGAAGGATGCCAATCTTGTGACTCGACTCCACGCCCAACTCATGACGAATGGAGACGACACATCGCTGAGTGTCCACTCAGCGATTGCGAACGAAGTTGGATTGCAAAGTATGAGCGAGGTCTGAGCGAACGGAGAAGCGCAGTTATTCGTGGTGCGCCTCGTTGGCAGCACCACTCGCGACAGCGGAGTCAATCTCCGCGGGATCATCAGCGCAGGGCAGCGACACGTTCGCTTGTCCGTCCTGCTTCGCGATTCTCGCCTCGCAATCGTGATATGTATTCACCGCGACATTCTCGATCACGGCATCGATCTCGTTCACGACATCGTTTGCGTTCGCGTCATCGTTCCCGTTCCCGACGACGTGAATCTCCTTACCGCTCTCGTTTGTCACGAGAGCGTTCGCGTGCTCGCCCGCCTTGGAATAGTCCGACTTCGTGGCTTCATACGACAGAACCACATCTGGAACGTCACGAAGGAGCGAGGAACTTGGTTCCCATGTATCCTGCTCGGGAGGGAATCCAAGCCAACGTACTCGGTACCTACGCACGGATGGATGCACGCTTCTCATGAGCCGACTGCAGTACTGGTTGTGGAGGGTCCTCGTGACCCACAATGCGGTCTACAATCCAGCGCACCTGTCCCTCCGCATCAACAAGCGGAGGAGGGCCCTCGCGATGGTAGTGCTGGCGTCCTGGTTGCTCAGGACGATGTTGATCAGGCCGTGAACATAGCTGCCGATGCTCAGCTGGAGGCTGAGGCTGCCAGTGAACGTGCTGCCCGGGCGGAGAAGACTTCGAGTAAGAACAGACAGTCGAACCGTGAACTGCTCGAGCGGATAAGGATTCTGGAGCGCCAGATGCTTGGTCAGGTTCAGACGGGATCGAGACCCCGTCCCATGTCATCGGCGCGTCGAGCACGAAGGGAAGGCCGTTCGACTTACGAACCCCTGAAGCCGGCGTCGGAGCCAAACCGTGAAGCGTAGCCGGACGATATTCCTTCAGCCGACCGACATAGAATGTCGGGTGGAGTCGCAGTGAAGAGGGGACGTCGAGTGTATAAGCGTCGCCGATTGCCTTCAGAACCTTGAATGGACCGATGAAGCGTGGAGCGAGCTTACTCGCGCCCAGGTTAGTGACCGTTGAATCCCTTAAACCTTCCGTAGATAATATTACACGGTCACCTTTCTCAAACTTGCTCATGTTCTTTCTTCCATGTTTGTCAGCGTTCTCCTTCTGTTGGTCTACCGCAGATTGTAGTGCGTCGCGTACAAACCTGGTGATGGCTTGACGTTGGAGTATAAATTCCGACACGGCCATGTCATCAATTGGTCGCGCCGACTCAATCGGCGCGTAGTTGGCAGTAGGGGAACGCTTACCCGAAGACGGGTCAATCAATGTCTGCGCAGTCCATCGAGCTAATGGGGACGCCACGTCTGATGGCGTCAAAATGGCCGTTTTTGCCTTGGATCGTGTTACTGCATTCGCGCTCAAAATACCGTGAGCTGCACTCGATCCTTGTTTATCACCTTTATCCCCCCCAGAGTGGAGCCACTAGGTGTTGTGGGTCGCCCCACGGCCAGGACAGTAGGAACACGAGGGTGACGAGCCGAATTCACAAAGAATGGCGTCAACCCTGTTGACGCGTGTACGGCGTTGTTGAGTGCGAACTCAGCGAGTGGTAAAAATGCACTCCAACTTGTAAATGAAGTAGCGTAACTCCGAAGAACATCTTCGAGGACCCGGTTCACGCGCTCGGTCTGCCCATCCATTTCCGGATGGGCCGCAGTCGACATCAGCAGTTTTGTCCCGAAGAGCTCGAAAAGTGATGTCCAAAATGCGGACGTAAATCGCGGGTCACGGTCCGAAACACTGTTTTCTGGAAGGCCATGATGACGGAACACCGCGTCGATGAAGTGCGCCGCGGTCTCTGCCGCGGTGACCTTAGCGTGGACAGGCACGAGATGTGTCATCTTGCTGAATCTGTCAACAAAGACCAAAGTGCCTGTTCGAGCTTGGCTATCGGGAGCAAGCCCGAAGATAAAGTTCATCGAAACTGATCTCCAGGCCTCTGCTGCAATTGGCAACGATCGCAAGGGAGCCTGTGACGATGGAGATGGCTTCACACGCTGGCATATTTCGCACGTTCGGATCCAGTTGCGTACCCACTTATACATGTGGGTCCAGAAGAAGTCTCGAGACACAGCCGCGAAAGTCTTTTCGCGGCCTAAATGGCCGCCAGCAGGAGCATCGTGATACTCGTGAATGATTCTTGCACGCAAATCCATGTCATTGACAATTACCGTGCGATATGCATCGAATTGGTCGATGCTATACAGAAGCAAATCGCCATCTAAACTGTATCGATGAATATGATCGCGCTTGGTACGGGATTATGCTCCCAGTGCAGCATCGCTGGGAGCACGCAGATAGTCGATAATGTCTGCATAATCTGAGTCACCCTTGTACGCTGCGACGATCTCATCAAATAAACACGGCTCGGGTGTAACCCGAGTTAAGTTCAGCGATACACACATTGCGCATCGGTCATCATCGTCCTCGTCATCAGTAGCCTGACGACTCAGAGCAGTCCGAGGATCATAGTCGGGACGTCTTGACAAGGCGTCAGCGAGAATATTAGTTCTGCCTGGCTGGTAATATATGACAAATTTGTACTCTGAAAAGAATGAGAGACATCGTGCCATCCGTTGGGACAGGTGTGGGCTCTTCATCGCTGTGCGCAGCGATGCATGATCGGTGTACAAAGCAAATGTACGTTCACCAAGGAGATGCACGCGAAACTTGATGAGTGCATAGCGCATCGCTAATAACTCCTTGTCGTGAACCGGATAGTTCTTCTCAGCTGGCTTCATCTGTCGCGACTGGTAACTCACGACTCGTTCACGGCCCTCATCATTAAATTGCATGAGAGCACAACCGATTGCAAAATCACTGGCGTCGCAAACCACGTGGAACGGCTTGGAGTCGTCTGGTAGGACCAGGACTGGCGCTGACGCCAGGCTCTTCTTTACTGCTTCGAAGGCTGCTTGGTGCTCGGGACGCCACAACCACGTGGCGTCTTTCTTCAAGAGTGACGACAAAGGCTGGATAGAACCAGCATAATCCTTCGTATACTTATGCAAGTAATTAGCCATAACGAGCCACTGGCGCAGCTCCGTAGGGTTCTTGGGCGTGGGCCAAGAACAGATGGACGACACCTTCTCTGGATCAGCTCGAACTCCCGATTTACTCACATAGCAACCTAACACCAGAATCTCCGGTGCACAAAAGACACACTTCTTGAGATTCGCGTACAACTTGTTGTCCCGCATAACTTGAATAACTTTCTTCAGGTGTTGAAGGTGAACTTGGACATCGTTGAGGTTGCCCTCGGCGCGACTATGGACGAAGATATCGTCAAAATAACTTGGGGCAAAGTTCCGAAGGGGTCTCAACACTTGAAACACCATTCGATTGAAAGTGGCCGGAGCGTTCTTCAATCCTTGTGGCATAACCATCCACTCCCATAACATGCCACTCGGGGTGCTCACCGCGGTGAGTGGGATATCGCTCGGGTGCATCAAAATCTGGTAAAAGCCATCGGTCAAGTCGATGGCACTGAAGATGACACTACCTGACATGGAATTCAGCACCATGTCCTTCCTGGGAATTGGCGTTTGCGCAGGAATAGTGGCATCATTCAACTTATTTTTCGCATGCACTAAATTCTAGCCTCCCGTAGCCTTCTTCACGCAGAAGGTTGGACTCGAATGTGGAGAGATACTTTCACGCACATGACCCGTTTTGCGGCGGCCTTCGAAGAATGCGTCAATAGCTTCGACTTGATCTCGAGGCAACGGCCACTGCCGTGTCACACAATACTTCGACCCTGGCACGAGATCAATCTCGTGCCGAACACCGCGGTCCGCAGGAAGTTCAGCCGGGATCTTGTCCGGGAACACGTCTGCATACTCACGAGCAATGTCGTAGACAGGGTTACCAGAATCTCGCAGAGCCTCCCATGACTGTGATGCAAACCTTTCTTCACG